ATAGATAGATAGATAGATAGATAGATAGATAGATAGATAGATAGATAATGATAGCTTGCTATTTAGATAGATAGATAGATAGATAGATAGATAGATAGATAGACAGACAGACAGATAGATAGATAATTTGCCCCTTACCGACATACTGATCCATATATCAATCAAATATCAAGTAGAACTTCAAAAGAAATTAGTGCTAGCATTGCTAAGTGGCAAAAATCCACATCCACTGCTACAGGCATTATAGAGGATTTTCCCCCTTTACTGCTGTTGGAAGTAAAATCTGGTCCAGTTCCAAGCTGGGAGAAAGATGTAGGAGAAAATGAATTTGGAGGCAAGCTACAGGAAAGGAGGTCTCAATTTTGTAGGAATCAGAAGCGAGGTGACACAGCATTAGTTCTGGGACAGCTGATAAAACAGTCTGGTGAGTAGATGGGGTTTTTTTTATATGATTCTAGGGCTTTATGGCAGGTTCCTTGTGAAATATACTTTAACCCGTGCTTGTGTGTGCCCTTTTAGTATTCTAATTATTGTTACCTGACTCCCATTGTGGCTGGGAGGTCACAACCCTAACCCTAACTCTAACCCTAACCCCGTCCTTAGAGCTGGGTGGGGAATGTAGATTTTAGGTGTCTTTGTCTCTCTGCTTTTTTAATCTGCTCAATCCCAGCCTTCTGTGGAGGCTGTAGCTGAAGGCATTTTGTTTATGAATGGAATAATTTGTGAAACTAAATATCCATTCACAGGGGCTGGCCCACTTGAGTGGTTTTACTTCAGGGAAGACTTTTCTCTTCTGAGGGGTGGGGGCATTTCTTCGCTAATATGGGGACTTCCTTACATTAAAAGGGGGGAATTCTCCCTACACTGCAACTATCTAGTGACCATCCAGATGTTTGCAGTTTAAATATGTTAGCCCTACTGAACTGGAACGAAATAAACGTTTGACATGATGGGAAATTTTGATAAATATAAGGAAGCTAGTTGGAAAGAAAGTTAGTAATTACATATAGTATGTACCATATAGGTGTGTTTCTGGTAGTACTCAAATGAGCATGAGTAGTGCTATTTGCTAAGATGTGCTGTGGTCACGCCCAGTGCTTTGTCTCTCTGTAAAAAAAACAGGGTGGGGTTTTAAGGCACAGGTGAGAAACCAGGAGACCGTCCCACATTAGTCATGAAAGCCAGCTGAGTGAACTCTGAGCCAATTACCAGGGGAATATGAGTTCGAGTTCCCTCCTTAGGCATGAAAAGTGGCTGGGTGACTTTGGACCAATCACTAGAAGACTGTGAGTTCTAATCCTGTCTTAAGCATGAAAGCTGGCTGGGTGACTTTGAGGCAATTATCAAGAGACTGTAAGTTCTGTTCCTGCCTTATACATGAAAGCCAGTAGAGTGACTTCGGGCCAGTCACTGTCTCTTAGTCCAAGCTACCACACAGGGTTCTTGTGGGGAAAATAGAAGGAGAAAGGAAGCATGTTCACTGCCTTGAGTTATTCATAAAAATAAATAAAATAAACAAATGGTTGTGGCCTCCATTTTGACTTTTTTGATGTATGTGAAATGAGAGACCACTTCTCCACGGTTATTTCAGCCTGTCCCAATAGGTCTGGCAGAGAAGGCCTGCTGTGGGTACCATCAGGTAGGGTTCTATATTTGGTGGGTCCCAGGAGATGGGCCTTCTCTGCCATGGCACCTGCCTTGTGGAACATCCTTCCCTCCAAAAGTAGATTAGTTCCATCCCTTTTGTTATTTTTAGAAGGCCCCCAAACCTGGTTATATTATCAGGCCTTGCAGGATCTTGCAGGAAATGGAAGATTTGCTCCATTGTTGAAGTAGCCATTTTTCCCCTTTGTAGGAAGCAAAATCTGCTCCGGTTCCAAGCTGGGAGAAAGATGGTGGGAATAAAATGGAGGCTGGCAGGTTGGAAAGAAGGTCTCTTCGGATGCCAGAAACTTTAGTGACAGAAGCATATTTCTGGGGTGGCTGATAAAATGGCTGAGTGAGCGGATGGATTTTTATAGGTTTCTGGGGTTTTGTGTTTGAGATGCTCCAGGGTTAGGGTTAGTGCATTGTAATGAGCTTTGTGTCTTTTGCTATTCTAATGGTGGTGGGTAAATCCTATTATGTCCTAAAGGTCTGTCCTGTCCTTGGAGGAATGTAAATTCTTAATCCCATCAATTCTGAGAGAGCCGGGTTGAAGGCATTTTGTTCAGGAATAGGCTAGCCTGGATTTCTTAATGGACCACAAAATATCCAACTCTAAAGACTTGAGGTTTCTGCTTGAGGAAACTAGGGTTGTTTTCTGCCTTTGTTAAGAATTTTTTCTCTCCATTCTAGGAAAATATAAGATTCTGCCACTTTTAATATTCCCCATAATATTTCATTCTCTAGGAGTGGGAAGGCTTCCCTCACCTTTCTTCACCTAGGGGTTTTTATATTTGTTTTTCATACTATTTATTTAGTAAGTAAGTAAGTAAGCAAGCAAGTAAGCAAGTAAGTATGTAAGTAAGTAAAGGATAGGGCTTCCATCTTAATATAACTTAACTGCTTTGACCCTCTCCCTACAGATACCCCCAGATCTAATCCAACTGACCAGTGGTGGGATTCAAATTTTTTTTACTACCAGTTCTGTGGTGTGGCTTGGTGGGTGTGGCAGGGGAAGGATAGTATAAAATCTCCAGTCAGAGGTGGTATTTGCCGGTTCTCCAAACTACTCAAAATTTCTGGTACCAGTTCTCTAGAACTGGTCAGAACCTGCTGAATACCACCTCTGCAACTGACCCATGATCAGGTTAATAGGGTGATAGGATTACTGGCATTTAGGGAAGATGCTACCACTGTACCATCTTTGTTTTGGGGGGTTTTGTCTCTATTTTTGTTGATATTATCACATTTTCACATTTATGATTTTTATTATCAGCTGCCCACTTTGCAGAATGAGATGGGTGGCATAGGAATTTAATTAATTAATTAAATGGGTTACAAAATTTCCTCTTACCTGCCTGAGTGCTGCCGTTGATGGACACAGCCATTTGGCTAGTGAGAGGCTCTTTGGATCCAGTAGGAGAAGTGATGTTGGTGGTGGTGGAGTCATTTGATTTTGTGGTGCTCCCGGTGTCTCCGGTGGATTGGGGCATAAGTGAGTTGGCTGCCTTTGAGGTGACATCTGTTCTGCTCCGGGTTGTATCTGAGACTGTTAGAGCTGCTGTAATTGATGTAATTGTTGTTGATGTCTCCAGGGGAGTGGGTGTGCTTGTGTCATTTGAAGCAGAAAGGCTGTCTGCAGAAAGACTGAAGAATCAGACACAGTGTACCCAAATCAGTTTCATTACCCGTTCTTACCTGTTATAACAGATTTAACAGATAATCAGAGTTGGAAGGGACCTTGTAGGTCATCTAGTCCAACCCCCCGCCCAAGCGGGAGACCCTACACCATTTCTGACAAATGGCAGTCCACTCTCTTCTTGAAGGTCTCAAGTGATGGCGCTCCCACAACTTCTGAGGGAAACTTCTGTTCCATTGGTTGATTGTTCTCACTGTCAGGCAATTTCTCCTTATTTCCAGGTTGAATCTCTCCTTGGTCAGTTTCCAGCCATTATTCCTTGTCTGGCCTTCAGGTGCTTTAGAAAACAGCTTGACCCCGTCCTTTCTGTGGCAACCCCTCAGATATTGGAAGACTGTTATCACGTCTCCCCTGGTCCTTCTTTTCACTAGACTAGCCATGCCCAGTTCCTGCAACCGTTCTTCATATGTTTTAGCCGCCAGTCCCCTAATCCTCCTGGTTGCTCTTCTCTGTACTTTTTCTAGAGCCTCAACATCTTTTCTGGTTTAATGGAGCCTCCAGTCTCAACCGCAGTCTATCTTCAATTATTAACTACTGAAGGAGACATCGTTTATTGCCTTTCCCACCTGCTGGTTGGCTTTTTGAAACGTATTATATCTTTACCCTGCTTCAGCTATCTGTTGTAAAGCACTTGTAAGCCACCTCAGTTGTCAACTCTGTGCCAGTTATAGTGATAAAACCCTGTCCCGCCCATCAAGTGCATGGTAAAAAACAGTAAAACAGTCTGCAAGCAAAACAAATAGGGCCATCCAAACACCAATGTATGTTTCTTTGGCTCAGTGGAAGAAGTTTAGTTTTCACCTCTTCTTTTAAGCATATTAGGGAGGCTCTTAGAAACGCAGGTAGTCCTCGACTTATGATCACAACTGAGCCCAAAGTTTCTGTTGCTAAGGAAGAGCAGTGAAACGTTAAGTGAGTTTTTGCCCCATTTTATGGCCTTACTTGCCACAAATGTTAAGTAAATCACTGCAGTTGTTAGTAACCCAGTTGTTAAGTGAATCTGACTTCCCCATTGGCTTTGCTTGTCAGAAGGACGCAAAAAAGTGATCACTTGACCCCGGGACACTGCAACCATCATAAGTATGAGTCAGTTGTCAGTTGTCTGAATTTTGATCATGTGACCATGGGGGTGCTGAAACGCAATGGTCATAACCGTGAAAAACTGTCACACTGTTTTTTCAGCACCATTGTAGCTTTGAATGGTCACTAAATGAACTGTTGTAAATGGAGGACCACCTGCATATAAAGGCAGCGACTTGATCATGTGCATTCAAAGTAATAGAACCTTCCTGTGGAGAGGCATGCAGACACTAAGGACAAATAATTGTTTTCTTATTGCTTTCCTTGACTTTTGGGTTTCCTGGTAGTCTTAGCTACTAGAGTCCAAATCCATTCAAATCTTCTTACATAACAACATAAATAAACATATTTGTACCCTTCAGAGCTTTTTAAAAGTATCACATTTCCTTTCCTACAAAAGGCGCCTGGGCTGGTTTTAAAGTGTTTCTCAAGAATAAACAATAGCTTGACGCTAAAATGTGAGGCTTGTTTTGCCGCTGGAAAGAGTGTTTCCAGTTGTGGTGTGGGTCTGTGAACATTGGTTTTCAGTGGGTAGGGTCTTGTACATCAGAATATCACAAAAGGAGGGCTGTGTTAGTCTAGGGTTGCAAAAAATTAAAAAGTAGCTGTCAGCTTTGAAATCCAGCTGCCACATATTTTAGAGAGTTAGAGGAGTTGAAAAGTTCAAGGTTATTCTGTGAGTCGTATTAAGAATTTCCAATTGCAGTTTATTGGTTCTCGTGATTTATGAAGTGTAGAAGTGGGAGGAAAGAAGGGAGGAGAGAAGGTGGATTCTGTGTAACGCATGAAAAAGCTTTCACTTGGGAAATTGCTTTTGAACATGCTAGATCTGTTCCTAATAAATCAATTGGAGAGATAACGTCTCGGAGTGATTGATATCATGGATACTGTCTGGATGCTTGAAAGTAGCTTCTTTTCTGACAATACTTTTTTAAAAAGATGTAGGCAACTTACGACACATGGAAAAAAAATGGTGAGGCTTCAGACACATGGCTGACATCCCAATTTTTGTGGCAGACATCCTAATTTTTTTTTTTTAACCCTCACCTCATAAACACTCCTGGATTAATTCGGGGAATCACTGTTTAATTAACCATAGCATGTCATGTGAAACACTATATCAGTGTTTTTCAAACTTGGCAACTTTTAAGTTGCATGGATTTCAACTCCCAGAATTCCCCAGGTAGCATGCTGGCTGAGGAATTCTGGGAGTTGAAGTCCACACATCTTAAAGTTGCCAAGTTTGAAAAGCATTGATCTATATGCTTTCTGTCCTGCGGGAAATCCATCCATCCAGAAGGCCTCTTCCTTTCCTAACTAGCTATATTCCAAAGAGCTCTGGTTGAATACATGGATTGGGAAGAGGGTGACGAAAATGCTAGCAAACAGTCCAGTATAAGGCACAATTAAATTCAATGGGACTGGAGAATACCAGCCCCAGGCTTACCAGCCTGGAAGCCATCAGCATACATCTAAATTAACATTAATTAGCATGTTAGTGGCACAAGATAGGGCTTTGAATGTCAGCATAACGAATAAGTGCAGCAATAGTCTGTGACCTTTAACCCTATGATGCAAAAGCTGGCCCATAAGGTCACTCAGTTTTCTTTGTAATGTTGGAGCCTGCAGTTTTTTCTCCAGTGCCCTGCAGTGCAAGAAGCAGGGGAAATGAAAGTTAAAAGTGTGCATTGCGTTAGGGTAGAATGTACCTACTAAGGGCTGCTTTCCTTAGTGCCCTTACTGTACAAATAATACATTTATGCTGGAGATCAAATAGAAGCGCTCTGATTTCCAAGCATGAAGAAAGCACAGTTTAATTAGAGTCTATAGAGATTCTCAGTCATTCAAGACATGGTTGCCCCAAAAGTGCTTTTTTTCAAGAGGCAACTGGACTTTCGTTGCTTTCCTTGAAGACGTTTTACTTCTCATCCAAGACGCTTCTTCAGTTCTTTAGGACACAGTTTAATTTGCTCCCCAAAGCTTGCTTTCTGCCAAGCGGAAAGCTTTGCTAAAACCAGGTAGATGAATATAATACGATTTGGAAAATATGCTGTACACTTGTACAAAACACCCCTGGTATAACTCAGAAACTGCCTGGTAGTCCTTCTATTGTAGGGCTGTAAAACTCAAGGCCCATGGGCCAGATTCGGCCTGCGAGGTGCTTAGAACTGTCCCACAGGCTCCCAGCCTGGAAACAGCAAAGGATCAGCCTGTGGTGCCTCTACATGGCCCTCCCAAGCTCCGTTTTTGCTGGCAGAGGGTTGCAAGAGGCTGTCACAGCAGAAAATGGAGCCCGGGACCCTGTTTTCACTGGCAAAGTGCTCGGGCCACCACAGGCGCCTCCGACACAAATGAGATCGAGCTGCCCACGCCCACTCTGGCCACACCCACACCAGCCCCCTGAGGTCAAACACAACTCTGATGCGGCCCTCAATGAAATCAAGTTTGACACCCTTGTTCTACAGGATCAGTATATAGTTAGTCCGCTAGTTGTTTTTACTAGTTCCAAGCTCAAAATCCTGAAAATTCCATGAACCAACTGACCAACATTCTGACTGATCAATGTATTATACAGGTAGCCCTTGACTTACAATCACAATGGAGTCCAAAATTTCTGTTGTTAAACAAGACAGTTGTTATGTGAGTTTCCCCCCACCCCATTTTACAACCTTTCTTGCCACAGTTGTTAAGTGAATCACTGGAGTTGTTAAATTAGTAACATGATTGTTAAATGAATCTGGCTTCTCTATTGACTTTGCTTTGTCGGAAGTCACAAAAGGAGATCACATGACCCCAGTACACTGCAACCATTATAAATACATGCCAGTTGCCAAGCATCTGAATTTGGGATCATGGGACCATGAGGATGCTGCAGTGGTGTTAAGTGTGAAAAATGGTTGTAAGTCACTTTTTTCAGTGCCATTGTAACTTCGAATGATCATTAAACAAATGGTTGTAAGTCAAGAACTACCTGTGTTTGAAGCAGGTATATTCTATTGATATGATGAGTTTTTTGAATTTTTGTATGAGTTACATTAATTTTATTACTGTACAAGAAGCAATGGAAGGAAACTAATCAAGGAAAGAACCAACTTACAACTAAGGAGAAATCTTCTAACAGTTAGAACAATTAATCAGTGGAATGACTTGCCTCTAGAAGTTGTGGGTGCTCCAACACTGAGTTTTTTAAAAAGAGCAGGGGGTTGGACTAGAAGACCTCCAAAGTCCCTTTGAATAAAGGGACTTTGGAGGTTCTGTTATTCATTCTTTAAACTCCAGTTTGAATTTTAAAGAAGGATTCAGTGATGCTTATTGCTGTGTAAGGGTATTTTCCAATATGGCGTTTTCTGTACTCTTGGAGAACCATTCATAGGGTGCTTATCCAACAAATATAGATTTATCCAAATGAATATATTTATCCAGATTGTAGCCTCACCTGTAAGTCTACAAATATATATCTGATAGAAGATTACAGCCTAAAGCACATTAGAACTTATCTACATTAAAATTTATCTATTGGTGTTAGTTAAATAATTAACTAAAATAGTCCCATTAGAATTCCAGTTAAGAGCTGAGGGAGACGCCTTTGGCGTAGATCAAACAAAACGTTTCATGCCTAAGGCTATACTATCCTAATGCTTATTGCAGATCATTGTGCATAACAGAGAGAAATGGTCAGCCAGACTTCTATTTATTATCCAAGCCTTTGAGAATTATTTTCTAGTTCCTCCAAGCTCCTATTTCTGCCTCTCCTGCAAACAGGAACAGAATTGTTTACTTCCTCATCTTTCTGAGCAACAGGAAACAAAATCTTACATCCCCTTTTTCACCAGGTGTTGTGGCAGCCGGTTGATTATCAAAAGAAACCAGTCTATTATTGAGTTAAAACTCAGCACTGAAACAGCAGCCACAGTTAATGCTGTGAAAAACCTTCGTCTTCCTAGAAGTATTTTTACAAATCTCAGGAAAGGGGGAAAGTTTTCAGAGCGTTCGGATAAACCTTAGCCATTCTTTGAATGCTTTGCTAAAAGCCACAATTACTGCAGTGTGTTGTAAAACTGGCCACTCAACTAACCTTGGCAGGTTAAACTGGCTTTCCTGCAGAATTTAGATCCTCTTGACTTGGGGGTCTCCAACCCCCTGCCGTGGCACAGTACTGGGCCTGCCAGGCCTGTTCAAAACCGGGCTGCAGAAGTGGCGGACATGCAGCTCCATTTGTGTGAGTGGTGTGTGCGTGGGTGTCCACTACTCACACAAATGGAGCTACATGAGCTCACCCACTGCTCACATGCAATCATCCCCTCTACCAATCTGCTGGTCTGCAAAACTGAAAAGTTTGGAGACCGCTGCTCTAGACTAGCAGCCCAATATTCCAGATTATTTCTTGAACAGCCATAAGTGGACAACCATCAGTCATGCTGATTTTTGCCCTGTGCAGCTTCTCCAGGAATCCAAAATCCCAGGAGCATCTTCCTGCTCTTGTTACCTACCTTGGGTAAATGCCACCAGTAAGAACAGCACCTGGAGGGCCATGCTAGCTGGCTCCATTTCTCCTGAAAGGATTGGAGGAAAAGAGCTGCTGGAAAAAGCTTGTCTCGACTACAAACAGGATACAATCCATCTGTGCCAACTCCCAAAGGGGCTGGCATTTAGGCAAAAGTCCAAGCCTGATTTTCTAGACTTAGCAAAATCTTGTTAGCAAGATCCATGGCACACCACTACCCTCCCCAGGACAGGTGAGGGAAAGCAAGGACGAGACTTGCCTTATAAAAGCCCTTCTATCACTTTCAGTAGTTCTAATTCAGGTCATCAAATGATTTCCTATCAAGAAAAAAGAAAAAGGAATTTGAATGCCCGAAGCACTTTGATTCTGAGAATGGTCTTTGGTCATAACAAATAACATCTGAGAACAAAGCCATCTGCTCTTCAGAGAGTCTTGTAAAGAATCGATTTCACAGAGAAATGTTATCCTGGAGTGTGTATCACTACAATGTACATGCCCTCTAAACTGGTGGATATGGGGAATGGTATGTTAGCTTGCAAGAAGATTTCTAGATTGGAGTTTTTAACTTGCATAGAATTGGGGAAGCACGCCTGGGCTAAAATTGGGCTATTCGTGTGCCTATGGCCCACTGGCCAAAATGTGCCCAAAATAACTGATAATAGAATAGAGTGGAGTGGAGTGGAGTGGAGTGGAGTGGAGTGGAGTGGAATAGAATAGAATAGAATAGAATAGAATAGAATAGAATAGAATAGA